ATCTTCTGGTAGGAAAGATCTACACCTAGCCTTCTCAGACAAGGGCGAAAAATCTCGGAGGTCCCGTGTGCAAGTTGAGCATGTTAAAGATCCCGTGGTGGTCTAAAATTGAAAAGAGTAGGCTTCGGCCGCCACCCGGGCAAAATTCAAAATGTCCCACCATCTGAAAATGTTTGGTGTGTCGGGGAGGCAGATAGGTAGGTACTATGCCGGTCGTTAAGTGCATGGCAGGTAAAGAGGTAGTGTGATATTGTTTCATCTTTGCTGTTTCACAACTAGCAGTCAGGTGGGGTATCCTTGCGAGGTTCCTATTTAGGTAGGAATTCCGCAGGATGTGTTGTATTTACAGGCAAAAGAGAGTGACCTGTTATCTTCCTCTCATGGAATTTGGTGCATCTTTTGAGTAGGGAGCGGCCATTTGTACCAATACTTTACTTACTTACTCTCTCCCAATACCGTCAGGTACATAAGGCGGAAAGCAGTCGACACCACGCTTTTCTGCCCCTGGCCACGTCCTCCAATTTCTACAAATCTAGGCCATGAGTTATTTCCTCATCCCTTATTTGCCTCTATAGCTTCCAGTTGGTCTTCCTAGTTTTATTTTTCCAATTGGTTTCCATTGCCATGTCTGATAGGGCAACCGTGTGTTCGGCATTCTTAAAACATGTCCCAGGTATATCCATCTTCTCCTTTTTATGGTTGTGTTGATATCTCCAATTCTGAACTGCTCCCCTCTTCCAACATATTGACAAGGTTACATTTTCTGCTCTCCGTTTCAGTAACGTTTGAGTTTTTATGAAATGGGTTGTTTGGTCCATTGTCAACCTCCAGAGGAAAATCCTCATAATACCCGTGTGCAAATAGCTTCTACAGCTCTTTCAGTTTGGTCAACATGTTCATACATTGCTCTTTATCAGTTCTTGTCAGCCTGAGTAGTATCACCCTCTAGTGGATAATTTTAGTAGGCACTGTGGATAACCCGGGCAATGACGGGTGTTATTTTATGCCCTGCTTGGAAATACTCGTACATCTAGGTGGGCGGAAGGAAGATTGCTCCCTCCTTGAGTGTCAAAACTGGGCGCTGGCTATAGAAAGGTTGGCAAGCACTTCTGTAAAACCATTATTAAAGTCATTCTGCGGGTCCTCAATTACAATCAGAAATCAGCATTTTCTTTTTAAGGAATACTGTGGACTAACTTGTGTGGCATCTCTAATGACGTAAAATCATATGGGTTCTTTTTGCGTGTGGTAAAATATAATTTCTTGGCTAGCGCATAGCAACATCGAAATAAACAGGTACTGGTGTCGGGATGCCAGC